TGTCTGTTGGGGGGTGGTGGCTGTGGCCCCGCCTCCTGAGCAGTGTCTGGGGGGGTGTGCTGTGCTGGCAGAAGGGACCCCTGTGTTTTGTGAACCACAGCAGGCAGGTGGGGCTGGTGAGACGGTGTAGAGGAAAGGAGAATTAATTATTTAGAGCCGTTTCCCATTTATCCAACTTTTGTATTTTGTGGAGACACCAGGTGACCACTTTGGACTGTGAACAGAATGTTTGTGTGTGTTCCTTTGGACTGGGAGCTAGCACCCCGGCGTCCAGTCCCTGCCGGGTGATGTTGCTCGGATTCCGTGTGCTCCTTGGGCTCCTTCCTGCCGTAGGAGATGAGGGTGCCTCTGCGCGTCTGTCTCAGGCCCTTCTCCCCCGTGAGCCCGACTCTTCTGCTGGCGGCCTGCCTGGTCAGCAGGCCGGGCTTCCTGGCTTTCCCCTCACCCTGTGGACGAGGCCTCGGACGGGTGTCATGCAGAGGGGCAGAGTCTTCATGGCCTCAGACATGAACGTGTGTTTGGAGAAAGGCAGAGGTAGAGGGCCCATGGAGACGGGGGCACGAGGGCGGTGCCCAGCCCAGCACTGACTTCGTTCACTGATGGAGGCCGCTTCCAGACGTGGCCGGTCAGGGCTTGTTCCTCAGGGAGAGCGAGGACGAGAAACAGTACTTGTCCTCCGCGCGTGTTGTACCTGGTCCTCCGAGCGTCTCGGGTTGTGTGGGCCCGGGAGCAGGTACAGGCCTGGGCTTCCCGGGAGACCTGAGCAGCCGGTGCAGTTACAGAGAGCGGGGTCCCCCGGGAGAACCCTGCCAGAGACAGTGGGGTGCAGTTACAGAGAAGGGGGTCCCTCAGAATCCTGCCTGAGGTGTTGGGGTGCAGTTGCAGGGAACGGGGTCCCCGGAGAACCTGCCTGGGACGGCAGGGTGCACTGATAAAGCCAGGAGAGCCCTGTGGCAGACCCAGCTTGGTGCTTCCTTGTCCGACTGAGGGGGCCCAGGCCCACGTTTTCATAGGCAACTTGCTGCTCCGTGCTTTTCAGGCCTCCCCTTTCTGGGCCTTGGCACCTGCCTTCTTTCTGCTGAGGATACTGACAGAATGTCTTCTGTGTCCTTTCTTTGGCAGGAATTTCTCTGGGATTTCCTGAACCATCAGGAGGGTCCCCGTGTGAGAGACCGTTTAAGCCACGGGGAAGTCAGCTTGCCCGAGTTTCCAAGGGAGGCAGCAAACCAGCTGCTTGCCTTTTCCTTCGTGCTTTTACTGAGACTCACTGACGAAGACCTGCTGCCAGTTTTCAAGGTAGCGCATGGCGAGGGCGACGACCGCTGGTAGCGCACGGCGCAGGCTCCCTGCCATCCAGTTATGAGAGAATGCGCTTTGCTTCCAGATGTGATTAGCTCCTCATCGCCTTTTCAAAACCTGCTCTGTTGCGGTGTGCCTCCACGTGAACAATTCACACGCGTGCGTGCACTCTCTGTGACAGATCAGTCAGCACCACTGATCTAACCTAAAATAATTCAACTCATTTCTTAAGAATACATGTGCTTTTGTTTTTAATGGTGACAGGATATTGCATACCAAAGGACAAAGTATAAAACAGGATTAACTAAATAAATCGGAAACATTTACAGAAGACTTAAATTGAGGGGGCAGAATACTTGCATTTGTCAATAAACTGTAGTTCTTTTATTATTTTAAAATAATAAGGAGGTCAGAAAGTTAGTGGTACTTTAACCCTTCTCGCAGATTGTACATGCAACAGTTATGGTAGCATGTGTGTCAGAGGTCAAGCAGGATGGAACAGTCACCACACAAGGCGGAAGTCCGGCGGTTCCTGCTGCTGGCGGCCGTGCGGCTCTGCGCCCACAGCCTCCGCGACAGCCCGGGCGGGTTCGCTGAGGACGCGCTTTTCTTGTCTTAGCATTTTCGTTCACAGCGTGTTTTTGGCATCTTAGTTCTGCTTTACTCTTTCTCAGCCGCTTGACCCCCACTTTATTGACATCTCATTGTTCGTCGGAGCTGCCCCTCACTGATGGAGGATTTCTGATTTTCTCTGCAGTGGGGAGTCCCCGACTGTGATGCAGAGACAAACACCTGTGTTCATCTGGGCATTTGTGTCGGCGACTTTGTCAAAGTCCAGCTCTGACGCAAAGGCATCAGAAGCCCTTGTTTCCGCTTCACTTACTGATTTGTGTATGTCGCTGCCCTTTCTCAGGTTTGTCGGGAGGCTGCGGCTCTTGAGTGAGCTGCTTGTGCATGTATTTTCCCCGCCTCCCTCATTTTGCCTCCTCGCTGGTGTTCCAGCCTTGTTCGCCATGTCAGGGCACGTGTTGCTGCTTGTCCCTAGGTCTTGATGTCTCTTCTCTCCGGCACCTGCATCTGGAGTTGTTCTTGAGAGACCCCTTGTTCAAAATTATGAATATATTCCTATGTTTTCCCTCGGACTTTCAGAGCTTTTCTCCTTCCATTTACGTCTCTTGATCCAGGTGGAATTTACTTCATCTGAGAGTGAGAGAATCTAGCTTTGTTTTTTTACCGAAGTGCAAGTTGGCAGAACGCTGTTTAGAGAGTGGACGTCCCTGTACTGTGTGCAGCGGGCGGAAGCAGAAACCTGGTGGCGTGGTGGTCACAGCTGTCCATTTGTCTTAAACTAGGAGAGGGCCATGGTGAGATCGCTGATGGGTCTCGCAGAGGGCTACGTTGCTCGCTGCCATCCAGCATCTCGGCTTAAAAAACAGGTGCGTGTGGCGGGGCGGGGAGGTTGCGCCTGCAGGGGCCTAGGGGCCCAGCTGCCGTCCAGCCCGGCTTCGCCGCTGGATGCGTGGGAGGCGGCACAGGGGCAAAGCCAGGGTCGTCTTGAGGGAGGCCCCCTGAGAAACCCCAAAAGAAGCCGAAGGGTCAGTGCGGGGGCTGGGGCAAGACTGCAGCGGTGTGGGGAGCCGCCCGGCTGAGGGAAGAGCTGCCCCGGTGGGGTGACGGGCCGGATGCTGGCCAGGGAGCTGGTGGCCGCGCCAGGCAGGGTCGGCCAAGCTCTCGCATCCCCTAGTCCCGCGTCCGAGCTCCCACATCCATGGTCCTGCGTGGTGATGCTGCGTTGGCCGTGTCACCCCCTCGTGCCACACACCACATGCGTCCCTCACAATTCCAAGCTTCCAGAGTAAAGGCCATTGGAAGGGAGGTGAGGGGCACCTGTCAGAGGGACGGAGGCGAATGAGGTTGGCGGAGGAGGTATGATTCCGGAAGGCAGAGCCCTTTGGCCTCAGCGCTGCATCTCCCGCCCCCTTGGGTCTCTACGCTGTTCCCTGTCACTGCCCACCCTCCCATAGCGGACTCCCGGGGTCACCTGTCCTGTGACTCTGGCCCCTCCGCCATGGTGGACTCACGGTCTCTTCAGTGGGAGGCCATTGCTCCAGGGGTCACACTGTGTAATGAGCCAGCCTCCTTTAGCATCAGCAACAGCGCTCCGCATCCTGTGCTTCTGTGGGCCGGGGGCAGAGTCTGGGGGCAGAGGTCGAGGCGGGGGTGGGAAGCAGAGGCTGGGGTCGAGGATGGGGATGAGAGGCTGGGTCAAGGGTCAGGAGGAGAGGCCGGGTTGAGGGCTAGGAATGGAGGCCGGTGTCAAGGGTCGAGAGTGGGGGCTGGGGTCAAGGGTCAGGAAGAGAGGCCGGGTTGAGGGCCTGGAGCGAGGGCCCGGGGTTGAGGGAGGGTGGGTGGTCTCATGGGGACAGCTCGTTTCCTGCAAGGAGGGATGGGCCCAGCGCTCCGCAGGGTGCCCAGCTGCCCCAGACGCCGGCCCCCATGATCCCCCTGTGCTTTCACCTCCTCCCTCATCTGCTCGTACCACGTGACCGAGACTCTCCACCTGGTTCTAAAACGTGGCGTCTCTTAACAGTTTAGGAGCACGTTGTCTAGAACATTCTTTCAACATTTTTTTCTCAGGTTCTGAGCTGTGAGGAGAGCCTCAGGGCTTGGCCTCTTCTGCCTCTGCCCGAAGGAGCCGGAGGGGAAGCTGCCCAGTGAGTCTGTCCGGGTCCCACAGGCCTCGGCGGCCGGTGGGCGTCGGGACACAGCACAGCCATGAGATACAGCCAGGGACGGTGCCCAGGCCTGGTGACCGGGGGCCAAGATGGGGTGAGGGGGTGGTGACGACCCCCCTGGAGGCCGGGGGGCAGTGTTGTGGGGAGGCGGCTGGCCTCCACCAAGAGTCTGAGCGGACAGTTGGAAGAGGGTCTGCGGAGCAGGGGGACGGGCTCCTGCGGCAGGCGTGGTGCCCCCAGCGTATCATGTCCTGTTCCGCCTCCACTCCGAGGGCGGCCCTTCACTTCGTGTTTGGGGAAGCAAGTTGCAGACCAAGTGCTTTGCACAGGGAACCGTTAAAAGTACATGATTTTGCACAGGCACTGACGGGGCGTCTTGCTTGTTGCCATGCGTCTGTGCGTATTTTGTTTTTCAGGTTGGAAAGTAATTCTGAAACAAATGACTGCGAGTCTTTAATCACAGACATCATGGCCGAGCTGTGTCACCACCTCCCTGTGAAGCTCTGCGTCCCCCCTGACTTGGACAGCCCTCCTGGGAGGTGAGTTCAGGACACCTGGGAGTCGGGGTTGCAGACTTAGTCACAAGTCTGTGTTTTAAGTGTTATGGGCCTGGTGGCTGCGTTAGAAGCCCCCGTTGTCCCTTAAGAGGAATTGTCAGATAAGCTTTGATGGTCTCCGTGCATGTGTTGGTGTGGCTGGTGGACGTTAGAAATACGTGTTCTGTTCACCGTGGTCAGGTGTGCGTTCATCTGATGTCTGCCGTGTTAACAGCTGTATAGCAGACGGAGAACATGCCCGCAGGCCACCGCGGGTGGGCTGGCCGGTCAGGATGCCCTGGGGACGGGCAGTGGAGGGGCCCCACCAGAACCCATGCTCTGGTCTGCAGGTGGCCCCAGCTGCTCCGCGAACTCTGCGGCATCCCTGTCCCAACACTGTTCTGCCCCAGAACCGTCCTGGAGGTGCTCACCGTCTTCCGGAAGATCAGTGCCTGCTGCTGCCGCGTGTCTGGCCAGGTCACCGCCTCTTGGGAGCGGAGGCACCAGCAGTGGGTGGACCGGAGCCTCCGCTCGCGGCAGAGGCGGAACTACCTGCGTATGGCGAGCAGGTGCGTGGCTGGCAGTCCGGTTGGGGGAGGTGGGTCGCGGCGGTGGTGACCACAGATGCGCTTCCAGTCCTCGCTTCGGAGAAGCACTAGTTTCAGGAAAGTCACGGTACGTGTTACCTTAAGATGCTGTTTATAATTTGGCCTGAGGAGTATGGGTCCCACCGACCCAGGGGTTAAAACATGATGGCAGACTAACCGGGGATGTGGCATCGGGCGTCCTCACCCACACCGTCCACCTTAGAATGTGCTGCGTCTCAGGAAGTTACCACTCTGGACAAATTCCTAGAGCTTTTGGGTTGAGGGGTATCTACTTTACAGAGCTTTAAGTAAGTATTCCTGGGTTGCTTCTGAATGGCTACACCTGATTTCCACACGTCCCGGCGGGTTGTAAGGCCTGCGTTGTGTCCTTTCCCAGATGGGATGTATGTCGCAGTCCCTGCCGGGTTCGTGGGAGAGCTGGAGTCCGTCTCTCGCTGGCTTTGGGTCCTAGAGGCACTGAGTGCATTCTCATGTCTGCGCATTTGTGATCTTCCTCTCTCGAGGGTCCTTTCCTGAACGCGGAATTCAGGGAAGACGCAGGAGCCCAGGGAGGGACGGGCCCTCAGGGCAGGCTGCCGGCCCAGGGTCAGCGAGGTGCCCGGGCTCCACAGGGAGGGGACGCGCAGCACGGTCACCGGAAACACGGCCGTCCGCGCCGAGTGTTCTTGACAAGTCTGTGGTTAGGCGAGACGTCTTCCCCTTGTGAAGGTGAGAAATAGTTGTGTTTATCACACTTTAACTTACTTCTTCTATTTTTAGTGTTAAGGTTCTGTCTCCTGTGCTCTACCTGATTTTATTGCTGATCGCTCTGGAATTGGTCAACATTCACACAATTGGTGGGAAGAATACTTCAGAGCATCAGCAGTATCTGAGGTGAGTGTGCCGCCCTGAGCAGTGAAGCCGTGTTTTGTTCATTCTGGGTAATGTCTACGCCTGTCGGTTAGTCTCTCGGTGGGATTTTAAACCCCACAGTCTCTCCCATCACTGTTCTTGGGGATTTCAGAGCAAGTTTGTGTTAAAGCTGACACATTTCAAAAAGCTAACTGTGATTTACACGTGTACGTCTTCCGAATCCCTCCCTCGGGGGTGGGTGTGATGTCAGGGAGGAAGCTGGCGCGGTCCCTGTCTCGGCAGCTGTGTGGACGCCCTGAGTCAGGTCACGGCTCAGAGCCAGGCTGCTGTAACTAGTCCTTTCCAGTTGGGAAGCCGCTGTGCAGGACCTCAGACCTGGGGGTCCGGAGGGGGAGAACACTTCCCACCCAGAGAGTCCAGAACTGAGGCAGCCCCGCCCCACGGACGCCCCGACCGCCTCCCTGAGGAGGCCCTGAGGCTCTCGGTGGCTTTAAGCTAATACTTTACAGGTAGCAGGCACCTCAGTACGTGTTTAAATGAGCGTGACAGTATGACTGCGTTTTATCAGAACGCACATCACGAGAGCAAGGGGTAGCTGGTCATTCTTGCTGCCTCGGTCAGGGATTCTCAGCCTTGGCACTGACCTTGGGGCAGGGTCATCTCTGCTGCAGACCGTCCCATGCCCCGTGCCCCACAGCCTGTGGAGCAGTGTCCCAGGCCTCTGCCCACTAGACACTCCCCCAAGTTGTGACAACTGAGAATGGTTCAGATGTGGCCAGACGTCCCCTGGGGGCAGGATCGCCCCAGCTGAAAACCAGGCCTCTGGACTAAGTCTGTGCGTTTCCATCCTGTTAGTCTTTTAATTTCTCCCTCAGCACGAACACTTTCAAAAATTCAAAGTTGGAGAAAATTTTAGATTTCTTGGGAAATTTCGAGGAGAATGTAGAGTATGTAAAAACGGCATTTCTTCCCCTCAGCCCCAGCTAACCCCCGCGAACATTTTGGCAAATTAAGGAAAAACCTTTTAGCAGGAATAGCTACTCCAAGTGGGACGTGTCTCCTCTGAAGGGGGGGGCCCTCGTCCGGGCGGTGGAGGTGCAGGTCCGAGGGGCACTGGTCGTCGAGTGTCCGCTGTGCGTGTTACGTGTCGGCGTCGCCCAGGCAGCTTCTGAGCGCCTTCCTGCAGTTGGGTGCCGTCACGTCAGCGTGGTGTGTGGGCCTGAGAGCAGGAGACAGACGCTGAGCGGCCCCCTTCTGCTGTCTTTCTCTCTTCCACTCTGTGCTCTCTTATTTCTATTTTGTATGTATTTCTTTTCCTTAAGTCCTCAAACAGAATTAACTATTTAGTTGTAATTCCATAATGAAAGGAACATGTTTAAGTCATTCTGGCATTTCACAGTGGAATAGATAAGTTCATTTCTTTCTTTTAAACAGGTTCTTGAAGTCCGTCTTGCAGTACACGGAGAACCTGGCGGCTGCCACCAGCCAAGACCAGAACAAGTGGGATGAAGCTGTCAGTCTTACACACGCGGCCTTGTTGAAAATGTGGACTTTTAGTGAGAAGAAACAAATGCTAATACATTTAGCCAAGAAACCCACAAGTAAAGTGATCCAGTGAGTCAGGACACTTTGGGCTCTCTCAGGGAACCTGACTTGAGTGGACTTGACAGCATGTGGGTTGAAGATCCAAAGGGAGGGTAGCGTCCAGGTTCTGTTTGATGAGGGCGCATGGTCCGTTGCTCTGCAGTTCCCGACTTGCTTTCCCTGAGTGGTTGGTGTGGCCCTCAGGCTGGCTCCCTCGTGGTAACCAGTGGTCGCAGTGGCTTCAGGCCTCAGCTCCCCGAGCACACCATCCAGAGAGGAGAGGTTCTTTTCACCTGTTACCCAGAAATGGGCGGCTTCATCTTACTGGCCACAGGCCTAATCCTGAAATGTGGCTGTGGCCAGGACCCAGCTCTGTGCTCACGGGTTGGGCTGGGAGGACATCTCCTCCTGGACTGGCTGCCGGGGCCTGCAGGGAGGCCATGGGCCCGTCAGTGCCTCATCCCTGGCGCTGAGGTTCTCACAGGGGAGAACCGAGCAGCAGCAGCTCCTGGAAGGTGCCGGGCAGCGTGCGGCGGGGAAGCAGGAGCCTCGCAGGTCTCCAGCGTCTGGGGTTGGCAGGTTCAGGACGGGAGCTGGGTGGGCTGGGGAGTGAGGGCCAGGGCTGTGGCCACTCCAGGCAAGCACCGCGGTTCTCTGACGTTCAGGAAGCTTCTCGTCTGCTGTGTTGGAGCAGCAAGGCCGCTGGTTCTCAAGAAACCCCTTGCAAGGCTGTCCTGCCCCAGGTCTGGGTGCACTGGCCGCGCCCACCCTCTGTGAGGACGGCCCCTCCCACACCTCGCAGGGGGGTCTGGGCCCAGGATGGAGCCCCCGCAGGGGCGGTGACACGGGGAGACAGCAGACTCTGGGTCTGGCAGTGCCTCTGTCGACTCAACACCCCTCCCCTTTTAAACCGAACTCCTGGGTTCTGCCGAACGTGATGCAAAACCTCCTGCGTCGGTGTCTCCACCTCTGGACCATGTTCTTGCGGAACGGCCTCAGCCCTCCTCGGCTGTTCTCCAAAGTGCCGGCTGGTGCTCCTGGTGCTGGAGCTGGTCGGGGAGGGGAACCGGCCAAGAAACGGTCACCGAGCAGCGAGGAGACTGCAGGGCTGGCCGCGCTCCCTGGGCTCCACCCGGCCCTCTGCCCTCGGCCTCTGCCTGCTGTGGGTCCTCCCTGGGAGGAAGGGTCTTTCTAGCTTGGGTAACTAGTTCTGCACGTGGGAGCTAAGCGCTTTTCCACAGAACCCCCAAGTGCTGTCCGGGTCACAGCCCCAGCCCCAGGGGAGGGCAGTCACCCCCGCCATCACCGTCAGCCCTTCCTCATCCTGGGCTTCCCTGGCCTGTGACCAGCATGGCCAGGCGGGCTCTCAGGCCCCCTCTAGACACGTGTCCTTGGGAAAGAGACATCCAGAGACATCCACCCTGCCTGTGGTGTGGAGAGAGCCGCTGCCCTGCTGCCTCGCTCCCCGTGCGCCCAGCTGTGGGCAGAGTGGAAGGAGCCAGAGGCGGGCCCCAGCCACACCCTCCAGGTACTGCAACCTGGTGTGACACTCCCACCCCTGGCTGACCGCCCGCTGTGAGATGTGCCTGGGAGCGGCGCCCTGGAGACCCACCGTAGCGACAGGGCTCCCCGGGGATGGTGTGGGGTCACTGACATCCACAGTCGGGCCTCGTGTCACTTGATGCAGCACTTGGCCCTCGCGGGACAGACTGCACACACTCTGCTCACCCCGTCTCCCCACGCCCGTCCTCAGCTCTGATGCCCCAGCCAGGCCCCGGTCCGTTCCTTCTGGCCCAGCTCCATACACTTAGCCAGCCTCTTCCCCGGTAGGCCCAGCCTCGTGGACACTGATCCTTGCCGCCTAAATGAACACTAGGTGTGGCGCTTTCCTGGTGGTCTCCCTTGCCTGTCGGAGGAGCCCCTTGGGGCTGTGATGCCCCCGAGTTTCTCCTGTGGAGGGTGTTGGCATGTTTTGCAGAAATCAAGTTTGGGCAGCAGATGGGGGAAACGCTCCTGGAGACACCATGTGCGAGGAGGCAGCAGTGTGGCTGCCAGGAGGCTGAGCCGTTTGCTGGTGGGACTGTCCCCGAAGCGTGGCCAAGCCCCATCTCACCTGCAGTCAGTGGTGAGGCCTCTCATGCCCAACGTTAGGACGCAGTGGCTCCAGGTGTCCTGTGGTGAAGGCAGCGCCCTGGCTGCACCAGGCTCCAGAGGGAGCCGCGGCCCGTCTGTGGCAGGAGAATAACTGCCGTGCTTTGTCCCAGAATGGCAGGGTCTGAGCTGGTGGCCTGTGTGGCCCCTGTGGTCTCCCGTCTGGGGCAGAGTTCACGTCAGCCGGCAGGCCTCATTCTGGACGTCAGGCAAAGCTGGTGACATTATGGGCTCCCTGGTCAGTGGCCAGAGCATCGTGCAGTCTGTAAATGTCACCTCCGGAACCCGGAGGGCCTCTAAGTATCTGGTCTCTGTCTCAGTGGCTGTGGATGTAGGGTGCCCCAGGCTGTCCGTCTGTGGGAGGACACAGCAGCAAGTTTCCAGGTCACGGCACCTGCTCTTTGTGGGGTTATGCTCCACCCTTTGCTGTTGTACATTTTATGAAGGTGTCTAAGGTGTCTGGTTTCCTGTACATGTCACATCGGCAGTGATGTCCCATAGGTGGTGTGACAGGACAGGGATGTGCATCCTGGATTGTACTGAGCGCATGGAGAGGGGAGGGCCACATGAGACCATGAGGGGGGCCTGTCCCTGGCAGGCAAGACGCCACTCCGGCAGGTGCACAGGGGTGTCATCTGCCCCATCAGCATTCGCTGCCCTGACACTGGGCCGTCCAGGCCCGGGGCCGTTCCTGACGAGGGCTCATCCTGACGGGGCAGTCCTGATGCGTTCCAGGAAACGAACCCTGTCTGGAGCAGCGCCTGCAGTTGGGTGGGGTGGGGAAGTCACTGACTGAGTTTGTGTGAATCCACTAATCCGGGCCCACTCACTGGGGTCTGTCGTGCTGCTCCACAGGCCACGTGGGCCCAGGTCACGTGGCTCACCTCCGGGGCTGTCCCAGCTGTGCATTGTTGCCTGTGGCTCCCGTCTCGGAGGAGGGAGTTAACTCTATGTGTCCACTTTGCTCTTTGCCCTTTCTATCAACCTGGACCTTGCTCGAGGGTCTGGGGACCCCACCATCCCGTCTCGGAAGGTTCTGGGTCTGTAGACAGGCTCAGTCCTGGGAGCTGCAGGAGGCATGCGGGCTCTGCCCACCCGCCCTGGAGGCATTTCCGCTTCTCCAGGTCAGGGTGACCTTAGTGGCTGTCGCTGTGCCCATCCGAGGGCATGATGATGAATTAGCCACCAAGACCTCTGTCACTTGGTCGCTCTGGTCAGCGCGCTGACCTTGCAGCCTGTTATGGGGGCCGAGGGGGCAAGCACACTGTGGGAGGGGCAGGAGGCCGCTACCCTCTGAGTGCTGGGTGTCACGTCCCCCTTGCGTGTGGGTCGCGTCTGCCCGTAGGGTCCACGTTTCTGCTCCTTGGACCCCGTTTTCTCTCCCTTATTTGGCTTCTCACCCACTCTGCCCAGACTGTCCAAGGAGACGCAGAGTCTCTCACTTTGTTGTGCCAAGTCATCTCTTCTCCCGTTTGAGCTTCAGGAGGAAGTGTTACTTCTCTCAACCCAGTGGCTCCCCTCCGGGAACCCTCCCCCCGCACTGGTGAGAAACAAGGCCGCGACAGGCCCTCGCTCTGCGTTACAGGGCGCTTTCCTCACTTGGATGCCTAACTCAGGCCCCGAATGTAAGACCCAGGTCCCCCTCCATCTCCTGGACAGCCGAGGCCAGCACCGCGCAGGCCGCGGCCTCTCACCAGAGCTCTGTCTTGACACGAGGCAACACCAGCGCTCAGACCCGCCTGCTGGGAACCTCAGACTCACTTTCAGGCCTCGCCGCACCGTCCACCTGCCAGGACACTCCCCGTCCGGGTCTGGGCTCTGTCCTGTGACGCTGTGTCCCAGAAGCCTGCCTCCGTGGAGCGCTCCCCCGTGGCTCCAGGACCCCATGTGTGTTCTGAGGGAGCAGCGTGGATTCCCGTGGTGCCGGGCTGCGTTCGCAGGCCTGTCCTGCGTCCCCCGGTGCAGGGAACGGCGGCGCAAGAGCCGTCCTTGCCCGGCAGGGACGCCCTCCCTGGGGAGGCCAGGCTGTTCCTGGACCGGCTTGTCTGGGCGCTGCCCGCGGCTATTTCCTGCACCTGGCTTTGTCCCTGCTGCTCCACCTGCTCCAGGCCGACACCTGCCTCAGCAGGTGCGTCATTGCATCGGGGGACAGCCATGTCACATGGGGCTGGAGTTTGCTGTTTCTCCCCAAATGGTGTTGCTCAGCCCTGCTCTGAGCCTCCTCACACTGGAGCCACGCAGAGCCTCGCTCCGGGGGAGCAGTCCTGAGGGCTCCCACGCCACGCGTCACCAGGGACACGGGCTTCTGTGATGGATCATGACTCCGGCCGCTGTGACAGCTGAGGAGGCCCAGGACCTGAGAAACGGCCAGA